AAAAAATAACATATACTGGGTGGCAACTTAGAATCAGTGAAAATCTGCTTTTTTCTTTTTTTTTGTTTTTTGTCTTACAACACACCTTTTTCCCCCAGCATGGAGAATCGAGCTCAGGACCTCTTGTTTGCCAGACAATCACAGCACCACTGAACTACATCTCCAGCCCTGTCCCACTAAACTCATTTCTATAGTTCATTAGTGGGATATCAGCTGCATTTTGGCAACAAGTGGTTTAACATTGACAAATTAGCCTTCCCCTATGTTTATGTAGCCAGCAAATTAAGAATATTATTTTTACTTTTTTTTTTTTTTAATCATGGCACTGGAAATTGAACCCAGGACCTTCACAGTGAGCTACATCCCCAGCCCTTTTAAAATTTAATTTTATTTTGAGTCACATTTGAGGCAAATTACCAAATTGCCCCCACAGGGCTCAAACTTGTGATCCTCCTACCTCAACCCCCAAGGGTGCTGAGATTATAGGCATGTATCACCAGACACAATTTATTTTGACTTTTTTTTTTTTTTTGAGACGGGGTCTTGCTATGTAGTTCAGGCTGACCTTGAACTCACTATGTAGCCCAAACTGGCCTCAAACTCCTGCCAATCTTCCTGCCTGAGCCTCCTAAGTACTGGGAATACAGGCGTGCGCCACTACACCTGGCTTATTTTGACCTTTTTAAAGCTTCTCTTTTTTCTTTCCCTCCTCAGTTTTTGGCATTGAACCCAGAGTCATTTTACTACCCAACTATATTCCCAGTCCTTTTTAAAATTTTTGAGACAGGGTCTTATTAAATTACCCTGGTTAGACTTGAATTTGCAATCCTCCTGTTTTAGCTTCCTGAATAGTTAGGATTATAGATGTTTACCACTAAACCCAGCCAATTGTTTCTTTTTTTGTTTTTTACACCTACGTCTTAGCCAAAAGGCTGAGAAGCACTGACTTCTACAGTTTCTAATTTGGGGAAATAAAAATACCACAGGAGTATTTTGTGACACGTGAAAAATATATAAAATTCAAAATTTCAACATCCACAATAAGTTTAGTTGGAACACAGCCATAATTATTTCTTTTCTTTTCTTTCTCATTTTTTTTGGTTTTTTTGAGACAAGATCTCACTATGTAGTTGAGACTGCCATGGAACTCACTATGTAGCCCAGGCTGGTCTCAAACTCAGCGATCCTCCTGCCTCAGCCTTCCGAGTGCTGGGATTACAAGCATGCGCCACCACGCCTGGCCAGCCATAATTATTTCTAAGTACTGCTGTCCACCACTGCTTCCTTCTGGTATGACTGAGTCCAATAGGCTAAATGGCCTGCAGTGCCAAAGTTTGCTGACCCTCGTTGTTAAGAAGAAAAACAAAGAATACCAAATTTTTTAGCTCACCAGTTCCTTATTGAACATCCAGGTGTTTCAGTGCCGCTCAATATTTCCTCCTTTGGGCCACAAGGGATATCACAGCTATAGCGTCTGTGTTTCTAGCTCCTGGAAAAATCAGTCAGGCTTCCCCTGATCTTATATCTTGCAGCTTGCTCCTCCAAATTCGTTCTGGGCCGGTGGGAGGAGCCTTAGCTTTTAAAACCCATTGTTCTCTAATCTGTAACATCTACATTGGCTCAAGTCACGTGCCTTGCACAGTTCATTCTGATAGGGTTCCTAGCTGTTGTCCGGAGTGGTACCAAAACCTTTCCGGCAAGTTCCTATTCAAAGGTCAGAAGAATGAAGTTTGGCCTCAGGGCCAGAACAGGAGCTGCCTCCAGCTTTGTCTCCCAGGTGGTGGGAGTTTCTTCCTCCTTTATCTGCCCTTCGGAGTCCAGCAGTCTTTTCTCAGGTTTATA